TGTTTGCGTGTGTAGGTGCGCGTGCGTGTGTAAGTGCATATCCGTATACAGCAATCTAACGTGTCTGCACGCTATCTGCGCGTCCAACGGTCATTATCCGTTTTCAATTTCATCTTCACCGCACTGGGCAGCTGTGATTTCCTCACAAGGATCGAATCCGAGTAAAAAACATCAAGGGTGGCAGCACGCACGCAGTATTAAGCAGCAAAATTCCTCATAGGTTTACTAATATCCGTCATGTAAAGCATCGACAAGTACAAGTCATCATATGATGATGGCGTGTCTGTATAATCCTATTATATCAGAACCTCCGCTTGCAAGAGTTCATCCAGCGGGAGATTATTTTCGGTATGTAATGCAAGGTTATGAGCACGAGTTATGAGTAACCATAATTATTTCATTGATCGATAATGCTCAATCAAAAATCAGTTACTATCTCATTTTAAGATACGATTTTGTTTTTTTGATAACATATAACCGAAATTGCAGCTAATATATCGAAATGCGGTGTAGCTAATTACATAACGTAAGTCGGTATCCCTTATCGGTAGGCGCTTCTATTAAAATATTAAACCCAAATGCGATGCATATCGTATAGTAGGCATACTGTAGAAATTATAAATGAAGCTTATAACGAGAAATTAATCTAGAAACCTGACAACTCTAAAGTCTACTAACCAACAAGATTTTCATGTTTACTTCTGCTTAGTTTGTTCCGACTGTCCTGGAAGCGTACGATCGGAGTGGTTCACTCGCTTGCGTACACACAGGCACGCACAATAGGCCTACGCGCATGCGAAGACTTGTTATTCCCGCATGCACGCACAGATACCCGTGCACCTCGCACTGACGCATGCACGCACAGATACCCGTGCACCTCGCACTGACGCATGCACGCACAGATACCCGTGCACCTCGCTCTGACGCATGCACGCACGGATACCCGTGCACCTCGCACTGACGCATGTACGCACAGATACCCGTGCACCTAGCACTGACGCATGCACGCACATATACCCGTGCACCTCGCACTGACGCACGCACGCACAGATACCCGCGTGCACCTAGCACTGACGCATGCACGCGCGCACGCACGCACAGATACCCGTGCACCTCGCACTGACGCATGCACGCACAGATACCCGTGCACCTCGCACTGACGCATGCACGCACAGATACCCGCGTGCACCTAGCACTGACGCATGCACGCT